ACCCACCAGCGCTTCTCCGCCCGCGCGGCTTTCCTCCTCTTCACCCCCGGCCACGAAGGCGTCGTCACCCTCCAGGTCCCCTTTGAGTCCTCTGGGTCCTGCGCGCTTCGCAGCGGTTGTTCCCCCAAACTCCGTCTCCTGGTTCTGCGCCTCCTCTTCCTCCCCTCCGAGGTCCTCCTCCCTCCTTCATTTCTGGCGTCGGAGCTTTTTCTCCCCTGCTAGGCAACACCCAGCAGGGGCACCTGCGCCAGGCTTCAGCCCAGCCTCTCCCTGTCTGGCACCCCTCGGCCCCCTGGACCCCACTCGGGGGACCCTAGCTTCCCCAGCGCGGCCCTCCCTCCAGACGCATCAGGGCGAGTCCACCCAAAGCTTGGGTGCCTCCAGCTCCATCTCCACCTCCCTGAGCGCCTCTTCTCACCCCCCTCGACCCACCCATTCTCCCTCAAATCCCTCCCTCTGCTCCCCCTGCAGCCGAGCACCCTGTCCCAGCCAGCGGCGTCCTCGTGAATTCTGGTGTTCTCCTGCTTGGAGCCCTCCGGGAGCCTCCCACATCTCATCAGGCAGCGCCCCCAGCCCTCTTCCCCAGGCCCACGCAGCCCGCTGGACCTGCCCTGCCCATCTGCGTCCAGCCCCTGCCGCTCTGATCTGTGGCCTCTGTCCTGCACGCTGGCCTCTGGCCACTCCTACGCCTCCGCTTCTGCTGAAAGCTCCCTTCGTCAAGACACAGGGCCCTGCACACCATCCAATGGACCCACGCCACATGCCCCACCTCGGGCCTCCTCACCTGCCCTTCCCCGCTCATGCTTGGAGTCTGGGTTTGGGTATGTTTTCCCTGGACCTTTCCTGGAGCCCAAAGTTGGTCTGCCCCCACCCTGTCCCCCCACCGTCAGCGACCTGTGTGTGGCCACCACTCCGGGACTCTGTCCTCCCTGACCCCCAGTGCCTGACACCTGCCAGGCACACAGGGTCGCTCAGCGCGTCCCCAGAGGACCGAGTGAGGAAAGACTCAGAAAGCAAACACCCAGACTCATGGGACCACCTGGGTGTGGAGCTTATGGGCATTATCTTCTTTTTCTTTTTTTTGAAATGGAGTCACGCTCTGTCGCCCACGATGGAGTGCAGTGGCGCGATCTCAGCTCACTGCAACCTCCGCCTCCCGGGTTCAAGCGATTCTCGTGCCTCAGCTTCCCTAGTAGCTGGGATTACAGGCATGCGCCACCACGCTCAGCTAATTTTTGTGTTTTTAGTAGAGACGGGGTTTCACCATGTTGGCCAGGCTGGTCTTGAACTCCTGACCTCAGGTGATCCACCCGCCTCGGCCTCCCAAAGTGCTAGGATTACAAGGTGTGAGCCACCACACGTGGCTTTTTTTTTTTTTTTTAAATCATTAATACAAAATAGAAAAGTACACTTCGTTATTTTTCATAAGAGCCAGCACTTTGCAAAGGCCACCCAGCTGGTCACACACCCCACCCCTTCTTCCCCTGCTTCTCCCCAGGGCTCACATCTGCTGGTGCTGGATGCCAGCTCTTTGTTTTTTAGACAGGTTCTTGCTCTGTCACCCAGGCTGGAGTGCAGTGGTGCAATCACAGCTCACTGCTGCCTCAACCTCCTGGATTCAAGTGATCCTCTTGCCTCAGCCTCCCGAGAAGCTGGAGCTATAGGTGTGTACCACCATGCCTGGCTAATTAAAGAAAATTTTTTGCAGAGATGTGGTCTCACTATGTTGCCCAAGTTGGTCTCAAACTCCTGGCCTCAAGCGATCCTCCAGCCTCAGCCTCCCAAAGTGCTAGGATTACAGGTGTGAGCCACGGCGCCCTTCGCTGAGGTTCAGCCTCTGCAGTGCTCTCACCCACACACTAATTTAGGAAGCAGGTTAGAGGGAGTCCAGGAGCCCAACTACGCTGGGGGTTACAGGCTGCCAGCAATGCCAAGGGTTGGCGCTGCACATCTGGGCCAGTGAAAAGGCTGCCCAGCAGCCCCACACACCCTGGCTCCCCCGAGGCCCGTGCAGCCTCCTTCCAACCCTGTGCCCTGACACAGACGTGGGCCAATTACGTGTGCAGGCACACACACCCACACGTGCACACTGGAGAGCCTCCTGCCTCCATGGCCCCGCCCCCCACGGTGCTCCGCATTGTGTGCTCCCCACTCAGGGCCTCATCAGCCACAAGGAGCCCCTGTGCAGGGCCTGGCTCCATCCAGGGCCACCCAAGGAAGCTCCAAGTCTGCACTCCCACCACAAAGCTGAGCAAGAAGCCGCCAGGCCAGGGCGCTGGTGAGGACGGACCCAAGCCAGGCCAGGGCGCTGGTGAGGACGGACACAAGCAATGTTTCAACGTTTTCAGACTTTATTTCACAGCGATCGACACAGAAATGTACTAGAGTTAGTAATAGGGCGCCCAGCCTCCCCGCCGCCCGCTTCATCGGGTGCTGCTCCTAGGAGGACTGGGCGAGGGCTGGGGCTGGGGTGGGGATGGGATGGGGGTGAGGAAGGGATGGGACGTTGCAGTTTAAGGCATTTCTGGCTTCGGAGCCATCCCTGCCACCCCTGCACCTGCCCCTTGACCTTGGTCAGACACTGACTGGCCCCTGGTCGTTCTGAGACAAGGATGACTGTCACTGATGCTGTGGGGAGGGTTTGCAGTGAGGCAGCCCTCAGCTGCTCTCAGGCGAGACGGGAAAGATGAGACCCACCACTCCAGGGGTCAAATAAAATCAATACACGAAGAACACGGCCGGTGGCCAGACCCAGATACCCAGGCAGGCAGCAGAGGTCAACTGCACCCCACAGTGAGCTCCCCTCGATAGCCCCTCACAGGGCCTGGGGTGTGGCAGAGGGACACGGCCGCATCCAGGGTGGCTGGGCAGGGCCAGCTGAGGGTCAGGGCACCTAGACCGGCCCTGGTCTGGCCTCTGCTTCTCAGCAGCCTGGGGCTGGTTCAGGCAGCACGGGGAGGGACGCAGAGCTGCCCAGCAGTAACATTGTTTCGAAGTCACAGTATTGGCATAGGAGGCCAAGGCAGGGCTCAGAGCACACACAGGAAGGTGCAGCCCCTGGGGTCCGGCCAGCCTGGGAGAAGGCCAGCCATGGCCCAGAGCACACACAGGAAGGAGCAGCTCAAATGAGGGCTTGGAAAGGCCCTGTGGGGGCACCCGGAGGAAGGGCCCCCTCAGACCTCAGCAGCCCCTTCCTCTCCGGGACACAAGCCCCACCTGACAGAGCGAGGGTGATTCAGGGGCCGGGGCTGCTTCCTGGCGGGGACACCGTGGGGGAGGCGCAGTGCAAGGGGGGGCTCAGCACCCTGAGGCAGAGGTGTGTGTCCTGAGGCTGCCATCCACGCCAAGCCCTCCACGCTGCCACCTCGCCTGTCCGTCCCTCGGCACCGGGTCTATCTGCAGCACGGCTGCCTGGACGGAAGGGAGGCCGGGCCAGCAGTCCCTCCGGCCAACACTCAGGCAAGAAAATCATATCAAAAAGCGACAAGTTTACAAAAATAGAAAATAATTACAGCGGGCGTGGGGCTCTGGTGCCAGCTCATGGGGCGGGGCAGGGCCGCAGCTCTGGTTTGGTGATGGCGTCCTCCAGTAGGTGCAGCGGGCGCTGGCCCACCACCACGTCCCGCAGGCAGCCCACGAAGCCTGTGCCATAGGCCTTGGGCAGTGCTGGGCCCACGGGCAGCTCCGGCAGGCCCCCTGCAGCAGAGACAGTGGGAGTCACCCGGCTGTGACTCAGTGATGCTGATGGGCAGAGGGACCCATGGGCACCCCAACAAGCAGGTGACCAGCAGGGGGACCACACCTGGGCCCCTGCCTCCTGGCCCCACAGCACTGGGAACTGCAGGGGCTACAGCGGGAGAAGAGAGAGCCCAGCCCGCCGGCTCACATGCACCCTGACTCAAGGTGGGCCCTGGGGGGTGAAGTCTGTCCCTTGATATTATGAGACCCTTGGGTATCCCTCCCTAGTCGCCCCAGAACACTCACCAAGCCACAGGGCTCCATCAGTGTCCAGCTGCGTGGCGCCCAGCGGGGAGGAGCCGGTCACAGGGGCCTCATTACCCACCTGCAGGGAACCTTCCCTCTGCTCCCTGGGGGTACAGGGAGGGGGAGACCATCAGGGCCCAGAGCTCCCTCTGCCTCCTCTAGACTGTAAACCCTGCATCCTTCCTATGCCCTGCAGGTGCCTCAGCTTGGGGGACCCCCCAGGTGTCACCCCTGGGGGCAAGGATGGGGTGGCCTTGACCCCAAGGAGGGCACTAGGAGCCAAGGCGGGGGACATTCCCGCAGCTCAAGCTTTGCTGGAGGTGATGGCCAGGCTCGGACCAGAGCAATCCCCAGCAGGCTCTGGGCAGGGCTGGGATGCCTTTCAGGCCTGGAAGCTGATCACTGCTTCTCCTGCATCTTCTCAGCCCTTCCTCCTCCCACTGGCAGCGACCTCGGCTCAGGCAGCAAGGCGTGTCCTCCCTGACCCCCGGCCATAAGTGGCTGGACACAGCCCAGCTGGGCAAGTGTGCGCAGCCCTCACCACCATTCTCGGCATGCTGGGTTCCCTACTCACCTATGTGCCACGACCCGCAACCAGCGGTTGGTGTTGACGGGCACGGTGGAACGCAGCACCACGGGCTGGGAGCCCAGGTTGTAGCTCAGCTGCAGGTGGCCGTCCACAATGGCCAGTGCCACGTAGTCCGCCCGCTCCGTGGCCTTGCCGCTCCAGAGCACCAGCCCCTGCGTGGCCTCGGTGCGCAAGCTCAGTTCAAAATGGTTGCTCTGCAGTGCCTTCTCGCTGGAGGGCAGAGGGCAGGTCAGGGTCTCTAGGAAGGTGGCAACAGGACAGGGTGGGGGAGGTGGGAGGACAAGGGCCCCAGCGGCAGAGGCCACAAGGGCTGGTGACGGGACCCAGGGGTGGCTGGTGGGCAGACACCGACAGTGAGAGGGAGAAGAGGGATGGAGACAGGGGCAGCCTGGCAGAGAGAGATCAGAGAGAGAGGTGGGAGGACAGATGGGCCAGCCGGGGATCTGCAGGCGCTGCTGCCACGTGCTCACCTGTGAAGGGCCCCGGACTCCAGAGTTTCGGGGCTTAGAAGCAGGAAGAGAGGGAGGCAGGTGAGCAGGGGACAGGCGCGCCAATGCAAACCCTCCCCAACACTGTGGGCTGCAAGGAGCAGGCGCCCACAGAAGACACACATGACCTCGAGAATCATAGGCCTGCCCACCAAAGAGCCCCAGCAAGGACACTTAAACATGCGTGTGCGGACACGCGAGGGCACAGACACCCACGTGCAGACAGCAGGAGCACGGCCAAGGCTCGGCACAGAGATCAAGGAGGTAGGCGTAGGGTGGCATGAAATGGAGACCAGGGGCTCAGATGCCCCAGTACACACATGCGTCTGTGCATGCATGCAGATCTACACACGGACACACGCACCTGCATGTCCACACACATACACGTGTACATGAACACACACAGACACACCTGAATGCTCCCCACTTACACCTGTTCACACACACACACATCTACATATACCCCCATATATACACGCACATACACGGACCCATGCGCGCGCACACACACACACGGACACAAAGCTGCATGTCTCCCCCACACACACACATATACATGGGGCCATGCACACACATGGCTATATATTCACACACGTACACCTGCACATCCACCCCATATACATAGACACGCACCTACAGACACCTGCATGTTCACACACACGGACGTGCACACGGACACAGACACGCATGCATGTGCGCACACATGTGTATAGCCTCCGTGGTGGGGGCTGGCTGTGGGGCGACCCTCGGCCTGTGCCCTGGGAGGGGCGACTACACTTCTGAGGGAGGAAACAGCCTCTTGCCACAAAACAGCACCGGACCCCCATCCTCCACCACGGGGGACGGACTGGGGGGCTCAGGACTGTACTCCCCACCAGGAAGGATGGAGGGGTGGGAGTGAGAGGGAGCAGGCGGGGGCTGAGCTCTACTCACACGGGGATCTCATTGGCCAGTTCGCTTGGAAACAAAGAGACAGACAGTGAGAGGTGGGAGGACAGAGGTGGCAGCGCCGGGCCGTCCCCTCCTGGCCTCGGAGCGAAGGCGTGTGGGGGTCTGGTGTCCCGCCCCGAGGGCACAGACGGGACCAGCAGCCAGCAGAGGATGGCACGTTACCTCTCGGTCACAGCGTTGAGGTACTCGACGAAGGTCCGCCCGTCAAAGGCCAGGGTATCCACGTCCCCTGCCGACTTCTCCACCAGCCCTGTGAGACAGGCAGGTGAGGGTGGGCCTCGTGGGCTCCGGGCCCGTCCAGCCTCTACCCCCTGCCCTGTGCCAGGCTCACCGTTCTCGCAGTGTGGCCCTGAGAATCCCCCGGGACACAGGCACACATAGGCAGCCTCCCTCGGGACACAGGAGGCCCCGTTGAGGCAGGGGTGGCCTGAGGCCCGGGTGCAGGGGTGACCTGCAAAGGATGTGACGTCCACCTGCCGCAGTACGTGCTCCGGGGTCAGCAGCTGGCGGCCTCCCAGGGAGACCTGCAGGGCAGAGTGAGAGCCTTGTCCCGCCTGCCACCCCGCCCACCCTGGAGGCCGGTGGGACGCCCCACCCCCACATACCAGCTGGATGGCACCGTTGAAGCCAGAGGACACGGCAGCAGCACGGGCCAGCTTGCTGAAGTCAGGAGCTCCCCCTACATAGAGCGGCTCCTTCAGGTTGAGGACAGTGTGCGGAACCTGCGGGGACAGCGGGTGAGGGGCTGTGCAGAGCCCACCCACGGTGCAGACCCAGGGCCCAGGCGCTTGCACGCACCCCCCTACCCAGCCACCCATTGCCTATCTAGGGGGCAGTGTTAATCACACAGAAATGGCAGGGTTCTTAGTAGGGAGGAGCTACCCCGGGGGTGGAGGCGCCAGAGACGTGAGCGGATGAGAGGCCGACAGTACCTTGCGGGACTTCTGGCCTCCGAAGAGTGGGTGGGGTTGCAGAGCGAGAGCAGAGAGCAGGGAGGCAGAGGAGGCAGAGGACAGGGCAGGCGGCCAAGAGAACAGGACAGAAAAACAGCTCCATGAGCGCCGGCAGGGGCGGGGCTGCCGCCCGAGGAGGAAGAGCAGGCAGCAGCGGGAGTCCCCTCACGGCCCAGAGCACTTACCGGGGACTCCCCCAACACGCGGGGGCCGTCGCCTACACGCATAGCACCCTTGCGGCCGTTTCGCTCCAGTGAGACCCTGGTCCAGGCTCCCAGGGTGACTGGCTCCTTGCTCCTGGTGAGGAGAGGTCAGTGTGAGTGGGCTCTGGCCGCCATCGGCCGCCTGACCCCCCAGGGCCCGAGCAACCTGTTGGTGCCCCAGCCCCAGGCCAGTGCCCCAGGCCTCCCACAGCCACCCTTGCCGGCCCACCTGATGACCGCCGCCCCCTTGCCCAGGTCGTAGCGGAACTCCAGGCGGCGGTCCTGCAGTGCCAGCGACACGAAGTCTCCCTTGCCGTCTGTCTTTTGCCCGTTGTAGAGCAAAAGGCCACTGGGGCCTCGTGCCAGGAACACGACCTCCAGCGCCATCTTCTCCCTGGGGTCATGGGGAGTTGGGGTGTCTCGCTGTCCTCTCCCCACGGGATAGACAGAGGTGGAGGCCGGCCCTTCCCCGCTCCTGCCCCACCGACCCCAGGTCCCGTGCAAACGTGTGCAGGCCTCTCAACTCCAGATGGGAGAAGCCGTTGAAGTCAGCCACGAAAGGCCCAGAGCCATCCTGACCCGAGGCTGTAGGGAGAGTCACCAAGGCTTCAGTCCTGACCCCCAGGGCCTCCTGCACCCTATGCCAGCCGCGTGCAGAGCCTAACTCAAAACCCAAACTAGACTGAGCCGCATCCTAACTGCAATGCTACCTGGAACCCGTACCCACCCAAACGTTTGACGCCACCCCTACCCCCTGCCCTGAGAGCCCCACACCTCCGACCTGTCTGACAGAGGGTGCCCCCACGCCCCAGGGGGCACTCGCACTGGGCACCACCCTCGGGCAGCACACGGCAGGGCGCCGCCCCGTGGCAGGGGTTGGGCTGGCAGGGGCTCTTCTCATCGGCGCAGGTTGGTCCTGGATGGAGGAAGACAAGACCAAGGTCCCAGGAGGTGTCGGTTGGGTACCGCCCACAGGCCCCGAGGTCCCACTCCCACCCGCCCCAGCCCCACTCTCACCGACGCGGCCGGGCGGGCACTGGCAGTGGAACCTCCCAGCCTCCAGGGCCTGGCACGGGGCCCCGCCACGGCAGGGGTTGGGCAGGCAGGGGTGGCTCCCGCACTCGCCCACGCCGGAGCC